ACGCAAATATTAATTGGTGAAAAACGTAACAAATGTGCTATTATCAGGAGACATGGACTCAGCTGGACAGAGAAAACCTTCGTGCAGTGTCTCCACACCGTGTCTCCTTGTGGAGACACACATTATGATAGTTGGTTTTGTAACTCTTAATACTAGCAAAGGTTGACCACCAAATATAGAGTGTATTATACATTACCACAAATTGCAGTTGATTCCAAATCTTCTATTGTGCTTAGGCCACCATCTGCAATACAAAGCAATAAATCAGTACAAATCTTGTAATCCTTTATAAACAGAAATAATGTTTTGTGTGGTCATACCACTTTGGCAGCTAATAACAAGGTAGACTTCAAGGTTTTTCTACACGAGTGTAGTTGGAGCTAGTATTATGGTATACAAGGAAACAGAAGTTTGTTAAATTTTTCATCTCAGGAACTCCTATTATTATTTATTATTATGTTCCTTCATTCTAAAGATTGTTTGAGATGATGTACCCGAATCTTGAACGAATTCCAACCTTCCAATCTTGCTTATAACTGATACAAAAGTTAAGGGCCCAATTTCACAATAAGAACTATCATAGAAAAGCAATGAATTAAAAGGAAACAAAATGTAAATCACAAATATTACACCAAGATTGATTCTTTTTACGTAGTTAAAAAATAATTAATTTTTAAATAGAATCTACCAGCAACCAAAACTGAATCCATTATGTTCACCCAATGTTTCAAATTTTGATGTTAAACTAAACAAACACATAAAACTAAATCATATCAAATTCGGAGAAGAACACAAGGCTTCAAATCCGTAGCATCTACCCGAAGCTAAAACTAAATCAAGTTCGTTCACCCCAAGACTTCAAATTCTTCTTTTTAAACCAAAAAATAAATAAGATTGATGGGCATACCTTGAAGACGGTTTGAAGAAGAACACCAAAATATGTAGTAGATTAAGTCGGAATTTGTTGACCAAAAATCGATACTATGGCAATTGAAGAAATTGGGATTGCAACCATGGGATCTACAAGAAATTTTGAGTGTAAGCAAATTGGATTAATTAGGTTTGGCAGCATTGTATTCCTTAAGAGAAGAGGAAGAAATGAAAACTTGCCTTATTGTGACCAGAAAAGTAATCGGAAGTCGTCACAATCTAAATTATTTAGTGCTTCAGGTGCTTTAGCCAGTTCCACATAAGCCTATATCAATATATCATAAGCCGACGTCTTCTTTGTTGTTGTTGGCAGAATAAGAGAACATACTACATTTATATAGTTTAAAGGTTCTGTGAGAACTCATAAAATACCATCAGTTTGAGTAAAAAATTGTAGCTACTTGGGAGGTTGTAAACATCAAAATTCTCATGGCAACTTGTGCGCAGCTTAGTAGTTATCATTCATATTGTCTTTCCTGTGTCATTGAATTTAAGTCGGCTAGTTTTTTTTTGGTCCATATATGGAACAGTGATATGAGAGGTAAAATCACAAATGATCAGTAATCCTCAGAGTCTCTCCTTTAACAGAGAGTAGATATATGAGTTATGCATTGTTTCCTTTGAGCAAATTAGGTCCATATGCCCTAAAAAAAACTGAAAAAAATATTCATTTTGAAAAAAAGGTTGAAATACATTCCTTTATAAATTAAACTCTCCAGGGGCAAAAGCATAAAATGCATTTTGCATAGAAAAAGAAATTCCTCAAAGTGTCTTGCTATAACATCTGTCTACGAATTTGTGCTCATACATTTGAAATTGGGGGAGAACAGAAGAATTTGATGGAAAAAGTGCTTAAAAATAGATCTATCTTATTTGGAGGTTGAAAATGTCTACTAATTTTGTCATCATGTATTCTTCATTCATAAACTGCCATAATATTCTATTTTGCATTACAATTTGATACTCCTAGAAAGCCCGAACAAAAATATAGACTAAATCGTGTATTCTTCATTCATAAACTGCCATAATATTTTATTTTGCATTATAATTTGATACTTGCCCGTTACACGCATAATAAAGACCAAACTCAGAAGTGCTTTGTCTGAGAAGCTTTTTTATTTTTTATTTTTTTTTAACAAAAAGTAGCAGAAGCAAAAATCCTGCCAAATCTCTACCATTGCTTTCTACTAAGACTCAATTTGAATCTCTCTGGATCTAAATTTTATAATTGCAGGAAAACAAATGACAACGTCACTCTTAGAACATCCTTTTGGACTGCTAAAAGGTGTGACAAGGAAAAAAAAAAGCACACAACCAATGAAGAAGATAACACGTCTTGTCAGTTACTTCATGTTAGTGTTCTTGATCTCCAATGATACACGCCTCAAGGTTATTTCATGTTAGTGTTCTTGATCTCGAATGATAACACGCCTCAAGGTTAAGCACCAATAAACACGTTGTGTATCCATGTGGCTAGTTGGCTATGACCCATCGCAACCCAAACACTTGAGGCTGCGCTCTACCATCAAGCTAACAACTTCGTCCATGTACAAATTGACAAGTTTAAAAATATAGTAACGACTGCACTTGGCGATAATGTATATCAGAACAGGCACTTTGTACTGCCCAAAGGGAAGACTTTAGTTAGAGATGATAGAACAGGGGGTAAATGGAACAAATTTGCATGTATGAAAATACAAAAAGAATGCAGCTTCCAGTTGCCTAAAGATGAATAGAAAAATTTGTACATCATAATGTCAAAAAATGGTCAATAAAATATACAGAGGGGGGCAGAAATCATCATCTCAGGCCTCAACCCAAAACTTGCAACTTGTTTGAGTCAAAAAACCAGCAAAATTGCTGCGCATTACACTAGTGTAACAAGATGTTCGAAAAGATATTGAAGTCTTTTGCACTTGTTGAAGGCTAATATGTTACAGCTACAAAGACGGCCAAGTATAGTGAACTGTGTTTCAGAATGCATACTGGAAAAATGATGAAATCCAATCTATTTCTTGAAACTTTTACTTAATGAGGGGGCTCAACCCATCACCTTCCCAACCCAGCTTAAGCATTTGATCTACAACCTTCAAGCTCAACTGTAGGCAACAGACGAAGTTATAAACCCGTGAAAGATTAGTAAGAAAAATAAATAATATGCAATTAAGGTTCCATGCTGAATGAAGTGTGACTCGTATTTACATTCAAAAATTAAGTAGAATAGAAAAGAAATCCTCAGCTTAGATACATCAACCTTAGATATGTGCTAGAAAGAAATTGCTCAGTGACCAAGTGTTTTTTTTTCCCCCTGTAGTTTTTAATAGAATTCAAGGTCTTGACATGATTTTTCCCCTGTAGTTTTTATTGATTTTTATATCCAAACATGACTGAATATTTTACACTTTTTTTACACAAATAAAAAAGAGTGACTCTACTTTGGTGTCAAAAGTAACTTGCTAGTTAAAAGAATTATTTATATTAAAACTTATGAAGTAAGAAGTAGACTTTTTTAGCTTAGCCAGACATGCTGAACTCTTTCTCCTTCCTTATCCTCTGAACAAATATTAATGCAACAACATATTGAGAAGCCACACAAAGATATCACCAAGTACTTAACAGTGCAAGGTAGTATTTCATAACCCTAAACAGACTAAAACCGGCTTCAACTTACAGCAGGATCTGTGAATATTATCAACTGTTTATCAGCTGTTGACACCAAGAGGTTTGTATTATCCTTGTTCAAAGCAATAGTAGTAATATCTTGCCCTTTTCCCAGTTTCAGTATATGAAAGACCTGCAGCAGAAGGATCACTACCAGTTAGATAGAATGTTCCGGAACTGAGAAGAATTCCATCAGAAACGAGATTATGTAAATGTTGCAAACTGTAAGCAAATTGTGTGCTTCAAACACAGTATATGCACTCCTAAACAACATAACTCAGGTCATAAAACAAGGCCTTTCATTTTGAATTTCCCCAACTCCAAAATTTACCTTACCTTTAGAGTATAAAGATCAAAAAAGCAAATTGAAGGCAATGGCAAATCCCGTGTGTTTTCTTCATTTGATTCACTATCTGTATATCCTTTTGATGCCAAATCCCGGCTGAAGTCAGTGGCCTCTATTTCCAATGATTGGTTTAATCCAACCAAAGCACTATTGCCATCAATAGAAACTTCAATGCAACTAATGCTTGATGAGAGAGGAAGTTGTTTTGTAGCAACAAGATTTCCGTTAAGAGTAAAGGTGCTGAGAGTACGAAGAGATTTGTTCCAAGCCATTAAGATCCCATCACATGATAAGCAGACAGCATGAGCTTCCACACCAACAAGCCTTCTAATTAACCGGCCTCTTCTAATTGAATGAAGCAAGACCTCTGAAGAGTTGGAGCAAGAGGCAACAATTCCAAGGTCTGAACTGATATTGCAGCATATTATTTCCCCAAGATGACCCCGGAGGACGTGTATGGGACCCTCAATTCGGTGTTGCCTATTTTTCTCTGCCAAGTTATGTCCTGCTACACTGCTGCTGGTGGTTGTGGACATGTTTGAATTAGTGGAAGGATCTGATGAGCTACTAGAGCGGGAAGTGGATGCTTGATGTAATCTCCAGAGTAGAAGAGTTGTGTCCCGAGATCCAGTCACGAGGTAGCTCCTATCAGGAGATATAGCTACGCAAGTCACTGGAGCACAATGTCCCTTGGCTATTTCCAAGGTTTTTGCTCCATCTGCTGATATCAGCCTGACACTGTTATCCACATGCCCCCCTAGATAACATGCCAAGATTTTGAAGTTATTTGCAAGTATGTGGCAAGACAGCAAAAAGTTTTTAAAAAAGGCCCAGTCGAACAGAAGGCAAATGCAAGAATGAAAAGCATCAGCTGTCTTTCAGCTATTATAAGATAATAAATAAAGCAGTAACTAGCAATTTAGGTCAAATACTCTTCTATACTTCAAATATTGACAATTTGTGACATGAATTTCACAAGACTTGAACCTAAAAAAGATATTATTATTATTATTATTATTATTATTATTATTTCAAAATAATTGGAATACACACTCACCAGTGATAATTTCTTTGTCACATATGATAGAAGCTATCGCAGAGCTTTGAATTCCAGAAGTTGGAAATGCCAATGCTTGGGGAAAATGCCACTCTTCTGATCCAGAACCAGTTGGTCCTTTGAACATTCGAATTAACGAACCACCAGCCGTGTTTGCACCAGACTTTCCATGCTCAAAAAGGAAAGGTGTCCCCTTTCCATCAGGTGTGTTTGGCTGCCACTTATGTTGTGCTATATGTGCAGCTGGAGCATTTGTATCAACAATTACAAGAGAATCCGACGATGCGTGAATTGCAGCAGCAGGTAGATTGCAGCGTTCGGGATATGGAACAGCATATGGTTTAACCTCTCTGGGATTCCGGAATATGGTCTACCGTATTACAATACCATTAGACAATTATGTTAGTCACTTATTAATATAATGCCTCATTGCATGCTTGCACAAAGTTGGTAGTTCAATGCAATAATAATCTAGTTCTGCAATATGGTGTAGAGTAGTTTAAATACAGTTTATTACACTCCAGGAAGCAGCTTATACACATCTGTTTTTTCTTCATAATATTTAGTTCACTTGAATGACAATGAGTAAAAAACTCAAACCAAAAACTTACATACCCAAATAATAAATGAATCATCAGGATATAACTGACCATATAAATTTCATGGAAGAACTTGTGATACGCAACAACAATGTTCAGAACTCAAATGCCACCTAATCCAAGGGTTTTATTACAAACAATTGAGGTTCCTAGGTAATACTCCTTTCACCCCATAAAGATAGGCTTGTTTTCCTTTTTCACCTTTCTCAAATTATGGGCCACTTTCCTTGTTGAGAGTATAGATGATTTTTTAATTTTTTAATATGTACCTATTTAATGTACCTTGTTATCAACAAATATGAATTACTCATAATTAAACCATCATTTAATGTATGGGTACATTATAAAAAATGTAAGAAAATTTTGTTATGTTAACTGCATTTTCTTAATCTGTGTGAAAATGGAAGCAGGCCTATATTTGTGGGAGGGAAGGAGTATATGCAAGCACCATATGAAAAATTGGTTTCAAATTCAAACCAATATTACATAAGTAACTTGAAGTAGTAATTGCAGATGCCACAAGTCAATTGTTTAGAGCAACATAAATAAGTTCTCATCAATAAACGATTCAAGTACACAATCTAATAAAAGTATAAATTCGGCTTCTTTCGTCTACATTTCTGGAGGTCTATCATCTTCATCTTTGAATTGTGAAATTTAATCTCTATTTGTTGATACTTAACGGTGTGAGAAACAACTGCAGGGCACAAGATGGAAAGAGAAGCAAGAGAGAGAGGAGATAGAAGAACATATAGGTAATGATTGCAAAAGTATATAGAACTCACTGGTTATAAGATGATATGAAGCAAACGCGGACAGCGCATTGTGAGCAGATTATAAATAGTAACAAGAGAGGGTCATATAGAGGAATAGCAAGACTCAAAATATCTTCCAAAGGAAGTGAAGATTAAATGCAGAATGAGCAATGCAGCCAAAGAGAAGAATACACATAAAAGTACAGAATACCTGCATGTGTAGGACATCAGCCAGTGGCATCCTTTTCATGTGAGGTACACTAAGAAGTTGTGATGGGGTTTGGCCAAAGTAAGCAATCTGGTCTTGTGTAGCTTCTTGTTGTGCCTTTTCAAAACAGTTGAAAAGATACAAGTATCAGCTACCTAAGATGGAGAAATATTTATAACAAAATGTATTGGAAAAAATTGGAGCAGAGTGCAAACTCACTGGGTCTGATATTTTATCAATATCAACTGTTCCTTCATAAGTGATATAGAAGAAAACATTGCTTGCCTGTATGGCTTCCTTTCCACGTTGCTTGTACCTGATTATTAAAAGTAGCTTGTCAGGAATAAGAAATTGTGGCAAATAAACAACTATCTTCAAATTACCCTTAGTACAGAAAAAATAAGAGAAAGATCAAGATCAGAACACAGAAATCTATATTTCAGATATGGCTTCAAAGGTAAAACACAACCTACCCAAATATGAGATCGATCCATTCATGCAAATGTGCTGAAACATGCTCACTCTCAAGTGCCATCCGATGCTTATGGATGAAATCCACTGGATTTTCAGCCCAAGGAGGAAGCTGAACTGAGTCTGTAACGTGAGGGAAGAAATGGCAAATGTAGATGCCAGAATTACGTCAGTTACTGCCAAGGAATGAATATAACTCTACTTTGCTATTGCAAACAAGTGAAAGCGCATACCAAGCTTCCCTCCCAATTGAGTCGTACCAAAGTCAATCGAGTTTACATTGGTTAAAACCTCTGGGAGATAAAATAGTTCAGGGACCTGACACATATACACACGAAAGAACAGCATCATTAGATCACATAAGGTATGAAAGACTTGCAGTCAAGCATCTAGATGTGACAAATAAGCAAGCAAACCCCTAAGAAAATGATTTAAAGACCAAACAAGCTGCAATTGCTTTTCAAGCTCTAATTATATGGGTAAAAAAAGGGAAAGAAAGTCACAGAAACACTTGGACAGATTCATACCAATTCCTTTACATCACTCATGTCCTCGAGAACTCCATTCCAAGTTGCAGCAATGTCTGAGAACATTCTGTCCGCATGATCAAACTTGCCGCCTTGAAGCTGAATAGAAAGAGTAGTAAAAGGTTCCAGTCTGATGAGGTAATACAGCACCTGCAAAATCATCAATAAGGTTCAACTACACTCGCATCACATGCACCTAAGGGGCATTAAGAACTCTACAGATAGACAATAAACCATCATGGCACAGCTAAAAGGAAGAGAATAGTTTCTCAGGTTGATAATTGTTATGCCCTTATGCTCATCAATGCAATAGATGGCTCAAGCTATCAAATTAACTTTTAATCATTGAATGCAATATATACAATTACTATATTTTCAACAACTGATCATATAGCATGCTATTACTATTTGCTAGCTTTTTCAAGGGCCAACTAACCTAGCAAACAAGTGTATTTAAATAATTCAGATTCCTCTTCATTACTATATTCTACTTTGATTTTCCAAATATGGATAGTAAGGCAGCAAGGAAAATGGGAAAGGGATGGGCAGTTCCCAGATAGATCAGAGCTTTCACCGTCCCATGTAAGTTAGACTGTAGGATATTTCCTTCATTTTGATGATGGCTGATGAAGCAATGTTACTTTGGTCAAATCTTGAGAAGCAATTATGACAACGATTACCAATACATTACTCTTGGCGAGAGACTTGTCGCAAATCCTGAGGCTTGTGTTCACGTATGCACAGAAATGGTATGGGATATGTTATTACAACAAAATACATGCAGTGCAATATATGTGCATTCAAAGTTACAGGACCATATATTTCAACAGTAGAACTGTGCAACTCATGTTACAAACAGCCAATAAATAAAGAGAAAACCTACTGTTCCAGCTGTAGAATAATGTGAACCATAATGGAACTTGGGAATGACTGGATCATCAAAACTGGAGTATCTCTCCTGGAATTTCTTTAGTCTATCAGCATTCAATGCACCAATGGGCTGCAAAAGTACTCACATACACAGTTAGCTGACAATTTGAAATCTATAATAATAACTTCAGAAGCAAATTTCGAAATTGCACCACCTTTGAGAGATCTCGATAAGAAGCAGGATTATAAAGATCCAAATCATGTGAGCTGTAATCAGAAAGGATCCATGGGAATACAGGATACTGCACATAAGAATGGAGTTTAGTAATAGAAGCATAAATTTTTTTCTGTTGTTGGGTTCAGTGATGGAAATAATCTCAGTAAACAGTATACCTGTGTAATGTCATTATAACTACGTCCAGCCAGTGTATTAAGCTGCATTAAATATTCAAAATTGCTGATCTGCAAAAGATTTACTACTTAGCATTTGCTATATATGTATATTGGCGAACTGGGAAAGTTAACAATAAATGAATTGTCCAAGGTTAAACTCTAACATACCTCCCACCTAGCCCAACGTTCCATAAGCTGAGTTCTTTTTAAAAGTTGTTCAGGTCTCTACAAAAGAGGAAAGATAAATATAATTTAATATATACAGCATAAAATAACTAAAACTAATCTAAAATGTTCCTTATCATGTGTATATACAAGTTCATGGATATATCGACAATCATATATGCATTATGAAGTGCATAATTGCTAGTGATGTTTGCATGAGAGGTAGCAAGGGATCAGATGGTAAAAAACCTGAGTTGCAAGGTAGATATTGTTCAAATGAGGAGGACGAGCTTGAACAATAGCTCGATATGCATTTCTTCGTCCATCAGTGGCCTACAGAAGAGAACATAACCAAAATATGGAAATATATGAAGTTAGTTAAAAGGGCTCAAGCCCAGCAATTAGAAAATGTTTTAAAAAGACATACCCCAAAATCAAAGAAGTAGTTTGATCGGTCAACCATAAACAATTCCAGTGCACTTCTTCTCAAAAGATATCTGTAAGAACAGTCATTCTAAGTTAGATTTTCCAGTTAAAATAATTGCAATATGCATAATGCACCATCAAATCCACGCTTGCACTCAAAATAATAGATGAACGAATGGGTAAGCCTTTATAAACTATTTAAAACACTCAAATAACTTTTTATCTACATATTTTGATGGATCCATAAGTACTATCCACTTATCCACCACTCATTTTTTATCTATTTATAATTTAAACCGTCCATAAAAAAACTCATGCTTTGAATAGGGAAAGCAAATTATGAGAACAGGACATGTGAGAAGGAAAAAAAATAAAAAAAGGAACTGCCTTTCCCAAGACAGTATATAGATATTCTTACCTTGGCAACATTATAATAGGTCTCCACAACCTTGAGAAAAACAATAAATCATGAAGTCCCTATTCTTCTAATAAAAGCAAAAAGTGCAATCTCTAGGTGAGAAATTAATCATATGAGAAAACACAAGTGAACCTTTCCAATTAAAGTAAAGGCAAAAGCCAGGCAAAAGAATAGAAAAAAAGGGTACATCTGCTGACTGACCTATCCCTATCCCACCCACAAAAAAAAAAAAAAAAAAAACCCCACAAAAAAAAAAAAAAAGGGAATGCAAGCACAAATAATAAATAGTACAATCAGTATCAACTCGGAAATTCATTTTACAACATATTAATATACATAGAATAGGAAAAGCTCAGATGGCAAAAGAGAGTCACTATCACCTTCTGCTATATATTTGATGAAGTGATGATATCAACCAGCTGTGATCCTTCTCTTGAACCCTGTTCACATTCTTGCTGTCCAAACCATCTCCCATATCATTCCTCTCCGTGTTATCAACAATAAAATTGACTCTTCTCGTTGTTATCTGAGAATAGAAACATTCGGTAACAAGCTATGACTTTGTACAGTGTATAAGTTGAATTTCAGCATGGTGCGACAAAAACAGATGTTCTGCTAAGATGGCATGGCAAAAAAGGAAACAGCAAAAAGCCAGTCGAACATAATTTAGAATTTCGTATCTTGTCCATAAGAGAATATCATTTATGAAAGTGTATAGTAGCTAATGCAGGAACAAAATTTGTTACAAGATCAGTTTCAGTATTTAGTTGTCAATACATAAGAAAGAATATCATTCATGAAAATGTCTAGTAGCCAGTGTAGCAAGACCAGTTTCAGTATTTAGTAGGGGTGTCTAAAAGTCTCGAACTGAAGCGGACCGAACAGAACTCGAACTGAATCGAGCGGTTCTTCCTAAATTAAATACCCGAACGGGTACCCAAATCGAGAACCGATGGGTTTGGGTCGGGTCTAGACAAAGAACCGAAGAACCGAATAAGAACCAAAACTAAATAATTTTTTTATTTTTTATATTGAATTAATTAAATTATTTTATTTTTTCTATACAAATTAGCAAATTAATTAAATAAATTAGATTATTTCATAATTTTAATTTTAAAGCTCAAATCATTTTTAAAAC